TAGGATCGCTTACAGGACCTGCGGTAAGGCTTGTACCTGGAGTGGGGGGAGCCCAGCGAGGCCCAGATGCTCGGATTCCGGGCGTCCCCGTCCTCGGAGACAAGGAGTTCGGGGCCAGGGCCACTGCCAGCTCGTGTGTCAGCCTTGGCTCGGGGACTTTGGGTGCACAAAGACAAGGAAGGACAGGGACGCACGAGACAGGGAGAGACCTACCAGCAGCAGGGCCTGGTCGTTGGGCAGGACTCCGCCCAGCGAGCTGCTGGCTAGCTGCAGGCCGCGCCAGACGACACACAACGCGCGCCTCGCCTCCCCGGCGCCGCGGCCGCAGGACTGCGAGTTGGGCGCCGGCCGGAGGGATTTTATACGGGGAGCGCGCCGCGGCATGCTGCGCTCACCAATGGGGTGCGGGCACCGTGCCGTCCGGGAGCCCCATTGGCCGCTCCGAGAAGCCGAGCCTGCGGCTTGCCCAATCAGACGAGACCTGCACAGTCGCCTCATTTGCATGCAGCCCGAGAGCGGCGTCCTCCTGCGCTCCGGGCGCGCGTGCTTTGGAGACGTCTGCGTCCCCGGGGAACGGAGAGCTTCCCGGGCGCCCTTGCGGGCTTGTCAGGCAGAGAAACGGGCCTTTCGCTCAGCCACACTCCTCAGGCTCCCGGTCGCGCTCCGCATTCCTCCGAGGTTGGTGGGCCCGGCGTGCAGGCGGCGCGCGGCGACCCCGCGAGCCCGCGGCGGGGAGGAGCCCCAGACGGCTGGCCTTGCCCGAGTGTCGCCTTCCTGCTGGTCGCCGTGGCACCGGCCAGGCGCTACGGCCCAGCGCTCCGCAGAGGCGCGGTCAGCCCTGCGCTCGGCCGGCCGGGGCGCGAGGGCCAGGGAACGCCCGAAGGCCCGCTCGATCTCGGCAGGCGAAGGGGCGGCGCTCCCGAGCCTCGCCGTGGGAATAAAATCCCTAAACTTAAGGGGGCTGTGCGGAGGCAGACCCGGTCCGAGGTCACAGACGAGTTCAGCAGCTCGCCGGAGGCTTGAGAACATTTCCAAGATAATCGTTCGCCCCGAACGTGTCCCGTTTTCCGTTGCTTTGTGTTTGTTTGCCCTGTCCTGCGCGCACAACTGCCCCGTAGAAACAAGACTTTGGAGATGGCTGCCGTGTCTTTCTGTCCGGGTGACCTACTCCATCATCTGTTGGGCTGCTGAGGGCGTTTTAACTGACATTTCCTCATTTCTAAATGGTTTTATACTTGTCAGGTCGAATGGCTCACTAGCGCCTCCCTCTTCATGGAAGAAGGTTTCATAAAACCTGTGTCCAAAAAAGTATCTTCAAAAATAAGGCAGGCGGGAGTGGGGGAGACCTCAGGGTCTTCGTCTTATTTAAATCACGTGTGCAGCGTCAGGAAACGAAGCACCTCAACTCTGATGCGCCCCTGACTGAGGGGGTCCCGGGCGCCCAGAGCTGCCTTTCCGCCTTCCTCCGTTCAAAGGAACCCTAGTTTGTGTGGGGCCTCCCCTGAGAAAACGTAGGCACGTCCAACTGGGGAGTCAAGAGGAAGGTCTCCGGCGATCTGACCGATGGGGTGGCCAGAGCCCCGCTGAGGCTGTAGGACTGAGCCAGTGTACTCGCACACGGGAATCCGAAATCTGTGTTCGTGTAGGGAAGCCCCCAACCTCCTCCGGGGTCATACTGCCCTGCAAAGGCTCCCTGCACGCGCACGCATATACACATGCACGCGCGCGTGCAGACACACGCACACAATCGTGCGCTCCTTACAGAACTAGCTAGCACTACTTACAGAAATCCCAAAGGGACTAAGCTTCCCTGCAACCCCACCGTCTTCCCTGGCGTGGACTCCTGAGCTAGGGACTCCCATTTTCCCCCCTTCCACCCGCAGTCCCTACTCTGTCACCTTGGTTCCTTTTCTTTAAAAGAAAAAAAAAATTTATTTGGCAGAGAGAGTGAGCACAAGCAGGGGGAGCGGCAGAGGGAGAGGGAGAAGCAGACTTCCTGCTGAGCAGGGAGCCCGACGCAGGACTTGATCCCAGGACCCTGGGGTCATGACCCGAGCTGAAGACAGAGGCCCAACCGACTGAGCCCCCCAGGCGCCCCACCTTGGCTCCTTTTCTTCTGCTCTGCTGTTATTCCCTTTATCCACATTCCCCTCCCCACACACAGCATTTGCCACTGACCAGCTTGGAGTGTCTGCCACCGTGACTTCTGCTGCGTGCACACGTTTGAAATGTAGGTCAGTTGTGCTTTCTCGGATATTCCACTTGCTTATTTTCATGACCCAGCACAGCGCCCTAAGCCATGCAAGTCACCCTGTGTCCAGCTCCTGTGTGTCCCCAGGGCTGCAGCCTGCCCCGTGGCCTCCATCCCCCACGGGACCGTCCCTCACTTGTGTCTGCCCTGCCCGCTCTCGCCCCCCACAACCAGAGTGCACCAAGTGCCCCGGTGCGCCTCGCCCGGTGGGCCTGGAGAGGACATCTGTGGAATGGAGCATCTGCCAAGTGGGGTCACTGGGCCCTCGGTCATCACGCCCTCAATCTCTAGGCATCTGGCCACTCCAGGGGTTCTGCCCTTGTCACGTGGGGCGGGGGCTTTCTTTGGTCCTCAGTGGGGCCTCCTGAGGTCAGTCAGTGTGGAGTCAGCGAGCCGGCTCCACGGACCCGATCAGGGATCTCCCAGTGGGCCCGGCTCCACAGGGGTGGTCACATGCCGAGCCCAGGGAAGCAACACGGTCCCCACGCCATGGCACGTCCGTGTTTGGCACCTGTCCTGGACTCTGTCCCCTACCTCTCCCTGTGGCTCACGGTAACCCCTCTCCCCTCCCGGATACACGGTCGCCGTGGGCACGACCGCCTGCAGTGAGCTCTGGGAGCTTTTCTGGCGCATCACTGAGCCAGAGGGGCCGGGTCTTGG